GGGGAAGGGGTGTTTATTATTAAATCTCTAGTACCTACTGCAGCACTTAGCACATGACAGGCACTCAACAAATGTTCAATAAATAATGAAAAGATGAATGAATAAACAAAAGATATGGGCAGAGATGGGATAAATGGGAGTGTTTAGGTGAAAGTAGGAAAGGTGAAAAGTCTTTTCTTAAGGCTGTGGCCTGTGGATAGAAAACCCAGTGCTTTGCATACAGGAAGCTTCAGGAGAGTCTCAGCTGGGGGTTGTGTTGCAAAGCCACAGGGACGTAGGACCCTCGACCCTCATTTCATGGGCTGCTTGGCTCCTGGGGGAGTAGGTACTGTTGGGCCCCTAAGTGCACTTAGAGTCTGTCTGTAAGACAAGGTTGTGATATAGGGCAAGCTTCCTCCCCAGGAACTGCCAGAGGTTGACATGGGTCAGGAGAGGTTGCTAAGCTGTGAAGCTCTAAATGCCTGGTGGCCTGGCTCTTCCCAGGCATGCCAGTCTTCCCTCACCACTCCGGCCCATTGCAGATGGCCACTGGCACTGCTTTTTCCACAAAGATTTACTGACTGTTGACCTTGGTGCCCCTCCCCCATCCCTGCCATATTTTAAAGTCTTTATAACTGTGGCAAAATACACAGAAGATCACGTTTACCATTTTAAGCGTGCAATTCAGTAGTGTTAGGTATGTTCACATTGTTGTGTGGCCCGTCTCTGGCATTCATTTCATCTTGTAAAAGAAACTTTCCACCCATCAAACAAGTCCTCAGGCCCCCTCCCCTGCCATTTTTGTCTACCAGATAAACATCCTCAGGAGAATTCCTATGAAATCCTTGACTCTTCCCACGTCCCCCAGATCCTTGAGGATGACATCTAGGAGGTGAAGGGTGTGCAGGAAGCCTTGGAGTCGTATCCAGACTCTGAAGGAATAACCCCTGGAGTCCCCCAGAAACTGAAGTGAACTCTCTGCCCACACATACCTGCCGGTCTGGCTGCCCACGGAGAAGGGGACCAAGAGGCCGGGGCCAGGGCTGGATCACCTGAAATGAAGGTCATAAATGGGTTGTCCTCTTGGCCTGAAGCCTTGGACCTATGCAGGTCCCCTTGATTGCACACCCTCCCTTGCCTGCCCCTTTCTCCTGTCACAGAAGGCTCAGACTCAGCGTGGGGATGCCTCACAAGCTCCTCCTGGGCTCACGGCATTCCTGGCCTCGACTGTGCCACCATCTCGTTTAGAACATGCCTCTTGTTGGGATTCTGACTCTTGCCTTCAAGGTCACTTTCTTCCAAGATTCCATAGCCAGGTTGTTTTCTTTGCTGGTCCAGATTAAGTTCAGAAATACCTTCCTTTTGTCACCTCTCCTACCTTTTGAGAGGTGACATTGCTGACAAGAGAAGTCCAGAGTTCCTTCGCCCCATAACCGTGAGGCTCTCCAAACCTCGCCCAGACGTATGTGTATGCAGACCCCTCACACATTTTTTCTCAGAGATTCACCATGAAAGTAAGCTCCCTCCCTAAGAAGTTGAAATAGATGCGTCGGCCACCCTCGGCCCCCGCTGCTGCGGGTAGACCCCTGCAGCAAGGTGCCGCCTTGCGGGTTCCTCACCGCATGCCTTGCCTGCTTCCCCTGGGCCCGGCAAGTGCAAGGCGCCAAGGGAAAGAACAAAGGATGGTAATCTTCTGTTCTCAGAAATCCTATTATCTGCTTGTTGAGAACAGACACACACATGTGAAAAGATGACTAAATATGCCAGGCAGTAAATGTAAAATGCCATCTGAGTTGAATGGGCTACATATCCGACATGAGTTCAGAGGCAAGGCTAAGATCACTTCCAGCTGTGGTGGTCAAGGCAGGCTTCGCAGAGGGAGACACGCGTGCGAGCCCGGCCTGCGGGGCAGATTGCCTCGGGCCTGGCAGGGAGCAGGGGTCCCCGTGGCAGACGTTGGGGAGCCACGCCCACATTAAGGATGCATGAAGAAATGCATGCTTTTTAAATGCATCCTTTTTAAGGGTTTCATATATATGCTCTGCTTTTCTTGGGCGCGTGAATCTGGAATGCCTTGTGTGGTGGGGGCTTTGGTGGGCCAGGGTTGGGGGGACCTGCCCACCGGGAGGGACTGAAGAAGCAGTGAATCCCGATGGATCTGAGTGACGGTCTTGAATAACCTGTCTCAAAGTTTAGTGGTTGGTGAGACAGAAACCTGCTACAGCTGAATTCATAAATTCACTTCTGAACAAATAATGGTGGGTAAAATTAGCAGACATCTGGAAGAGGCACATATTTCAAAGTTATTTTGGTCTGATCTATAAAGCACACTATGAGGAATATGATTGGTAGCTGGTCTTAATAAACAGTTAGTGGGTTCTGCCTGCCTGAAATGCAAAACAGATGTATCTTTGTTCTTTTAAACTGACTTTGATGAATAAACTATATGTGACGTCAGGTCCAAGCTATTGGATGTCTGAGTCCTACTCAGAAATATTTTAGAATATAAAAAAGTTTCCATGGTCGACACTGGGAGAACAAAGCGAATTCCAGTCGCGTTGCTGTTAGCGTTGAAGCAGGTTCAGAAATTCAGAGAGGCCTCCGTCCAGCAACCCCTTTCCGTATTTTGGGGGCATTGTTTCTCTCCCCCACACCGAGGCGCCCTCCCATTTCACAGCTGCAAGCTCTGAGTGCGTGTGGTTTTCAGCTGTCACTGTTGGGGCTTTGTAATGGGCATTATTGCTGTTTTGCTTATTTGTACACATTTCCTAAAAGAGCAAAGTAGGATTCTGCAGCAGTGATCCAGTCTCTGGAGACTGTGTGATGTTGCCATTTCTCCCAATTTGTTTGGTTATGAATGATGCGGGGATTTTAATCATTAGCATCTTGGCTTCGCTGGCTGTTTTTGGCAGACTGGTCCTCCAGCCAGCCCTGTGCTGTGCTCTGTGCATCAGGAAACCAGCTCACTCTGCAGGTGTTTCATCCATAAACAAGCATCGGCCACGGGCTCCTCTTTCTTTTTACGGAAACCCTTTGGAATTTAACTTTCAGATACAAATACTTGGAGCAGTTGGCAGCCGAGGCGCACGAGAGAGAAGTGAGAAGCCGGAGCGCGAGCCGGGGCAGAGGTGACCTCTCCTTGGACCTGACCTCCCCGGCGGCCCCTGCCTCCCCCACCCCTCTGAGCCATAGCTCTCCTTCTCTAGACTCACAAGAGGCTCTCGCGGCATCATCCTCTTCCCTGGGAACACCTCAGCATCCCCAAGGTGAGTGCTGGGAGAGCAGACGGAAATTAATGTTAGGCTTCTGGGAAGTAGGAACCATTACTACATGCAAACTAGTACTGAGGGGCAACTAAGGGTAAACTCAGGGCGACTTCACTGCACTGATAAATTAGATGCCTTGAGAGCCACTTCTGTTAAAGCAGAATTGTGTATAATGGTTGTCAATGCATGGTCATTGAGAAGGGAGAATATTAAAAATAAGGCTTACTTTGCCATTGCTTTCTAAATCACAGGGTATTAACTTAGTACCCTGTAATTTGGACATTATTTATTTATTGGGTCTGCCCAATAAAGTGACCACTTTAAAATGTTCTTGCCCTAGGAATTGTCGGTCTGTTTTAAATTAAACTGATGGAGAATAAAATTAATCAAAGCCAGCAGAAAAAAAAATGTGGATCTGGTGGAAATAGAAATGTTGAAGAAGAAAAAAAGGAATATAGTAACAATTACTGGCACGTGGTGTGGCTGTAGATGCTTGTGTGCAGACAGAAAGGCTCTCGCTGGGGAAATTGTCTGTCATCTTAGCTTTATTTGGAGAGAAACAATATTGTACATTGCAGCCGGGGAGCATCAGCTGTTTTCCCGATTGCCCTGAGAATGGTGGGACCGTTTTCTTTCACATTAACAGAGACGATGGGTCTTGGGCACTGGCGTCTACAGTGCGTGTTGACGAGCCTGCAGCTAGCACTGTTCAATTTAACCGAGTGGTTATGGCTTGCAGCCTGACCAAAACTTAGCCAACTGAAGACAACAGAGACGCTCAACTTTTAACTCTCGGAGGGCTGACTAAATATGGCGTAAAGCTTAATTTCAACAAGGCAGGACTGCATGACCTCAGCAGAACTGGATGTAACGGAACAATCTTGTCTGTCCAATTCTCCGCTGGCTCTCCGAGCCTCAGGGCTCATTCTGCAGAAGCGGGCTGGCTTCGCCACAGCTTTCCATCATGTCCAGTTCCTGCTGGTCCCTGAGCCATGGAAGATTGTCCCAGGCAGATGGCTCGGTCATAGATGAGTAATGTCGGTCTTAAAATACTGCGACTCTGAGAATCAGGAAAACAGACTGTGCTTTGACAGCTCTGTGCTTTCCAGACCCTGCCTGGTATCCTTGCTCTATCTAAATTGTGGTATTTCCAGAGGCGATATGAAAAACATTCCCCTGCAAAGCGACGGTTCAGCACTTAATCTTGGAACTTTTAACTCTAAGAGTCGTACCCACTCTTGTTTCCAGAATGGTTGTCTAAACTGTGAAATACAGAAGGTCCCCAGTCTGAGAGAGAAGTGTCAGTATCTATAAATATCGTTTGTCCTCCAAGCTTTTAGTCTCCTTGATGTTTGTGATAAAAAGACAGTTCCTCAAGTATTTTGTCCAGCTATGATCAAACTTGAGGCTGTTCTATCCAATTAAATGGGCAGAATATTTGAAACTCCAGTAAGAACACAGAAAACACTTATTTGGGGTATATGCAATATGCATTGGGGGGAAATAAAGTTATTTATGTATGCTTTCAGAGAGATAAAGAGTACATGTCATTTTCCTCTATGGAGAAGGGATTAGTAGAGACTGAGAGAATGTTTGGCTGAAATCACCACGCGAGCATCTGAAATAGGAATACTGGGCTTGAACTGAGACACGATTACAAATTAATGAAATAGCACTGTGTGATGTTTGGGTTGTTTAAAAAAAAAAAAAGCAGGGGTTCTTGTGGAATCTACAAGAGATGTTCATCATTGGTTAAATAATTATCCAAAGCAGTTGGAATCAGCAAAGTAATCTGATGTCTATGTCCTAATACCTAGCTGAATTATACAATTAGAAATTTTAAACGTATAAGAAGACATGCTATGAGAGGATTGTCTCCGAAAGGTGCTGAGACTTCCTTCCGACTTGGAGACCTTTGCCCTATGACAGAAGTACAATGATGGAATGACCTTTTTTTTTTTTTTTTTTTTTTTTTTTTTTTTCCAACCTGGCTTGTTATTCTTTGAAACATTCTGCCAGCATCCCATTAATAATCTCTTCTTTTTTACCAGGCCCCATTTTTAAATGCTCAAAGGCATTTTTTTGCTTAGCCCTAACATTTACAACGTCACAACATCTGGGGGAAGAATAAAAAAATATAATCACACATCCAGATGTTTGTCCTGCTCCAAACACCTGGCACTATGTGGTCCAAATGTGCCAGGGGTTGACTCGCTTTTTCATTCTCTCTGCCTGTGGAATCATACAATGACAATCTTCACTTTTCTGTCAAGCTCTGCCCCTTCCTCCCAAACGCTACTATTTAGCACCCACTCGAGCAACTGAGTAAATGGGGGAGATTGGGGGTAGAACCCACTTTTAACCGTCAACCTAGCCATTTATCAGGGCATCGTGGTACCCCAGTATTTGTGGTGGCATGCACATTAACGCCACATGATCCCTTTGCTTCTACCCTTTCCCCAATATCTGCATAAATCGCAGCCTACCTTTCAGAGTTGTATTTTCAAAGAAAAGGAAAAACAGCTATTTGTTACTGAGTTATATATATTTCAGGATTAAAGGTCACTTTATAAGTTCTTTTATTGAAACTCCTTACTTGGATTCTGGATAATTTTTAATAGCAGAAGATAGGAAAACATTAAAAACTTCTTTACCTTTGCCCTTACAAAATATATTTCAAAAGAAGGGTAAATGTGAAAAGACCAATAGCATTATGTGCTATCGAGTGAGAACTTTCAGCCAAAAACCTTCCCAGCTAAATCTGCTGTAACTTTTGTATAAATTATGCCACTACCCCCACCATCAAGTCAATGTGTGCTTGAATTATTTTTCCATCTGGCCCTCTTGTGGCTCCTAGCAGATGTTTGTCCCAATACTGCCTAGACTGGTGATGGTCGGAGTATTTTTCCTCTGTGTGAAACCACCAGGCCCAAGTGAGGGACAAACACATGCATGTGTTCTCCTTTGCACTGGGCTGCAATTAATGGAGACATGTTACCCCAATTTAGGGAAACATGAAGGGCCTCTCTCTCCATCCATTGCTTTAATTAGCCTTTCCTTATTTTCACTAAGCCCTGATGGCATACATCAGAATATCTCACCAGTTTATTTCCTGTTACTTTAAGAAACCGATGTGTCAGGAAATAAGTTATTTTTGTTAATTAGAGGAAAAGGTGCAGTATTCTTATTGGGATTGAATTCTCTGATTTGACTCTTGGGGAAGTTTCTCTGAGGAGTAAAAACAATAACCTGTGTACCCACAAGTGAAGTCATTTTAGCAAAGTAACCTATTATCCCAGTGGGTGTCAGATCCGGGGAGCCTATTTCATGGAAACAGAATGGAGAAACCATTCATCTCAAAACCAGGTGTTGATGACGGTCCCTGCAGGGTATCCCTGTTAGGAACTGCCTTCCTCGGAGGCTAGAACTGTGTGGCTTTCCTGCCCCCTGGCTGGCACACCTGGGTCCATCCTAAGGCTAAGTGGAGAGAAATTACCTTTCCTATTAGAAAGCAGCTGCTGTCAAGCACTTACAAGTGGCTTTTACCCACTAATGCAGCCAGGAAGGCTACATACTGGCTAGATTATTTTTCTTATTTTTAGCTCAGTTGTCTCCATATTGCACACAGAAGTAATACTTTAGAGATGCATTTAAAATTTTTACCACGCTATATTAACTTTATATCAGGGAAAAATAAGTTCATTGGTGATTTTTTTCTACCTGTACCTGGATTCCTAGATTATTTCCAAATATCTTACTGTTGGGCCTTGGAGATACAAAATATGACCGATGTGGCCATGGCCTACTCACCAGTATTCACTCAGAGGCATTACAGAAATTATTGACCTGCTGAATGGATTATTTTCTCTCACAGATCCAAGCATATAAAGTGCCAGTAACTAGCACTATTCCTCTAGCTTCCTTACCCTCTCACCTAGAAATAAAATGTAGCTGTATAGTAATATCATGAAATGTTCTGCTGGTTTAAATGAATGATCATTTTTCACGTGGGCGTCATTCATCATCACAGCTGTTGTCATTGTTCCTAGCCACTGACTGAGCACCTTTGTCACCTTCCTTGTGTGACATGTTTTGAGTCTCCTTCAGGTGTAGACACTCTCCTAGGTTACCCCATCCTCGTGGCAGAAATCAGAAACATCTGGTATCCTGTTTCCAACTGGCACAGTAGCAATGGAATATCATCAGTCATCAGCCTTATGCATGCTGGTTCCCTTGCATAAAGCTTTTGGACACCTCCAGTCCAGTATTTCACGAATTGGCAGAAAACTAGATTCCTGTGGTTCTGTGACTCAGGATAGCCCACCTCCCCACACCTCACCTGACTGCTGCTACTTGATGCCATTTGGTCAGTGAGACAAAATCTCTCAGGAACTCTACCCAAGGCCAAGGCACCACCTGCTACACCTGCCATGGAATGGCTTTAAGAGCCTTTGCAAATCATTGGATTTTCCTGCCTTTTTCTCAGTCTCTAAAAATGGAAAAGAACAAAACTTTCCCTTTTTTCTCTTATAGAAAATGACAGTTGCCTGCAGTGTGTTTTCATGCACCATATTTTATTTTATTTTACTTTATTTTATGTTATGTTATTTATTTATTTTTGAAGTGGGGGAGGGGTGGAGAGAAAGAGAGAGTCCCAAGCAGGCTCTGCACTGTTAGCTCAGAACCTGACACAGGGTTTGAACTCAAACTATGAGATCATAACCTGAGCCGAAACCAAGAGTCAGACGCTTAACCGACTAAGCCACCCAGGCACTCCTCATGCACCATATTTTAAAACAGTTTTGAATCCTTTTGGAGTAAACCAAATATGAATCTTAAGTGTGGTTAAGTAAAGACAAGGTACACAATGGTGTTGGAATAGTTGTTAAAGAGCAGTATTAGGTGATCAACATGGTACTTTCATAGGTGGCAATTAGGTATCAAAAACTCCAAAGGGTCTAAGGCTTGACTTGACTTTTAAGTTAGTAAGTCAGCCTGCC